ATCGTTGGCACCGTCTCCGATAGCAAGCGTGAGACAGTCCAAGCCGGTCTTGACCATGTTGACGACAGCAGCCTTCTGACTGGGACTGACTCTGCAGCAGAGAACGGATCGGCATCGCCTACACAGAAGAAGGAACTTTCTCTTTACCGAATCATCCAGAGCCAGCTTAAGAGTATCTCCGTCAATGATGATGGCGTGTGTAGGTGGTGGAGGTTCGTGATCGTTTTGAGCGGCGGCTAGCTCTTCCTCCGAGCCTTCCAAGCCGAAGATCTTCAACTTCTCGTCGAGCTGGGCTTCCACGGAACCGATGTTGTCATCGGTAACCTTGAGAATAATAAGGTCCATGTCGTTGTCGAGCAGGTTGCAGGAGAAACCAATGTTGATGGCTGTCTCAACTTTGTCACCTGTTAATACCCACAGCTTGATACCAGCTTGACTAAGAAGAGAGATCGACTCTGGCACACCGTCTTGAAGTCGATCTTCGATGGCGGTTCCTCCGATCAGCCACAAGTGGTTTTCGATGCGATCGGAGACCTCTTCCAGCTTATCTTCACGCCCCTGGATAGCGTTGGCAGCGATGTCGTAGTCCCTGTTCCACTCTTGATATTCCTCTTCAGAAACCTCTCTTTGAGCGATGCACAGTGTTCGGAGTCCTTCTCGTGCAAACATTTCCAGGTGTTCACCGGTATCGGCACGGAGTTGTCGCTGCTCGTTGGGGATCAATCTCGAGTAGATCATGCTGTCGGCTCCCTTGCAGAAGAGGACGATTCGGTTGTCGGGCATTCTGATGATCGCACTCATGCGCTTCCTGCTGGAGTTGAATTCCAGAGTGTTGAGAACCTGGTATTTGCGCTCTTCTCCCAAAACATTGACGACGAGACGGTCGTCTTCGCGGCCTACGAATGTGAAACCACAGTCGCGAGCAGTGGCGACAAGTGCAGCTTCGTCGGGCGATTGTGCTTTGAACTCGATCTTCGGTGGGTCGCCTGGAGTGCGTTCGGTAACAACAGTATGACAGAGGGCCAAAGCGATCATGAATTCCTCGTTGGCTCTCTTCTGTTCCATTCCAGAGTCTCCACGCAGGTCGTCGACATAGTCCGGGGCAATGAAGGTCAGGTCGTCGTCCCACAAGTAGGGGTTGTTGTGCATCTTGCGAATCCCCTCGAGCATCCGCACACGGTCGCGTGCTATCTGTTCGCGGGCTTTGGCACCCTCCACTTCGACGTTGATACCCTGTCTGCGTTGCATACCTGCTTGAGCCTCCGTGTACGCTTCTCCGTAGGGCACACCATTGATGGTCGCCTTCTTGAACTCCATGACATTTTGTGTGAGCGTTCCCGTCTTGTCCGAGAAGATATATTCGACCTGACCCACGTCGTCGGAGATGTTCCAAGACTTGGGCGTACATGGGTAATCGAGCTTTGCGTAGTACATGTGGATGTCGCTGTAGATGAAGAGGGCCTGAAGCGTTCGAATGATTTCCAAGGTGATGTAAAGAGAAATGGGAACCAAATTTTGGAAGAGAATAACGGCAGCCCAGAACGCAATGACACCGTCTGTAGCAGGGTTACCTCCGTAGGACCCATATTCGAAGAAGGAATGGGTGGTGTCGTCCCGGGCCCATGTCACCCCAAGCACAATTCCAGAAACCAGACACATGGCGGCCAGGATGAAAAAGTTGTATACAACGTTCCAATTAAGTTCTTTTGATATCCTGGCTCGCTTGCTAGGCGTGATACCAGAGTTGATCATGATCTTTGTCTCTTCTCCGGTAAAGACGACAACGCCCAGTACCCACTCAGTGTTTCGGAGTTGGCAGCCACGGAGGATGAGGTTGTTGATGGAGATGGGCTCGACCATCTCGTACGGCGGTGCTTCGGGGTCCTTTGCATTGTGCTGCTGCCATCTGATGGCCGCGCTGTACGAGTAAAGGTTCGAGTGGGCGCCCTCACTCTCGATGACGAAGTCGGCGCGTTCGCAGTGTCGAGCGTGTCGCACTTCTCGGGTGCAGTGCAGTGCGTTGCGCACCTTAAGGTTCGTCTCACCGTCCAAGTTCTTCGTCTCGACATAGCACGCGCCGTCGTCGGAAGAGGTGGAGAGAACAATGACGTCGGCGGGGATCTCCTCGTCGTTGTAGAGACGCACAAAGTCGCCGACCTGAACGTTCTTCCAGGCGTCCTTCTTGAAACGTGCCTTTTCCGGGACCGTCTTGTTCGGGTTCAGGACGCTTCCCCAGAACTTCTTTTGCACACCGGGATTAGCGTCTGCACCGCGGATCTTGTCTCCTTCTCCTGGACCGGAAGTTAATGGAGGGGATTGCGCTGGGGATTGGCCTGGGAGTGGTGAAGGTACGGGTGTCATCTGGATGTCGTTCTCGCCGCCAAAGTAGGATTCCCTGTGCGATGCGATGGATGCTCTGCGGGTCTCGTGCGAAGGGCGCGTGCCGTCGACAGCGTTGTCGTCGCCGCCTTTGCCCTTTGCACCCTTCTTGCTCTTCGCGTTCTTCATCAGGCGCCATGTTGAGATGATGCCCTTGGTGGTAGCCTTCTTGATCCGCCGCCATAGCGAAATCGAGTCCTCGGCCGTGTTTACGTTGTTAAAGTCGACGAGTCGGTGGACGGGCGCGTTGTTCAGCTCGTTGTCGAGGACGGTTCTCCGCCAATCTTCTACTCCATCCTTGATGGAGGTTACGACGAGAATGACGATGAGGGGTACTGCGTTCAGCGCAGGATTACTGGCGCCGAAGATTGAGAAAATCTAGACAGTTGCGTTAGTCTGGGGGTGTCAGAGGTGTCAGAGGGGTGGGTACGCACGCCCAGGATAATGATAAACAAGAAGTAGACATTGGCGATGTTGTGGAACTGGAACCACAAGTTCTTGGGAATGAAGCTGAGGGGCGTGTATTTGGCGGTTCTTATCTTGTTGCGGGCGTAGTGTGCGAGGGGCTGGCCTTCTTCGTCGCGCTCTGTTTGGGGCAGGGGCACGTTGAAGTAAACTCTCCGGCCGGAGTCTTCGTGGTCGGCGCCTGCATCTGAACTCTCAGGAGACTGGTCTTGGTCGAGCGGCGGCCCGCCTTCTTTGCCCAGCGAGTCTCGCTTCTCGCCGCCAGAGCCTATGCGCCGGTGCAGGCGCTCCTTGAGCGAGTGTCGCTTGTTGGCCGCTTTGATGCCGGTTGCGCGGTGTGTTGCCCCTGCGTGGCTCCCGTCAGCGCGTGCTCTCAACTCTGTGCTGTCAGCGGGTGGTGTCACTCACAACGTATGCGCTTCTGCGGATGTGACACCTCGGTCTCATTGGGCTCCATGTAGGGTTCCAGCGTCATGGTGCCTGTCGTCGGGGAGGCTGCGGCGGTGCGAGGGCGGCGACGGCCTGAGCCGGGAAGGCTCTACGCGGCGCGGCAGGCCAATTCGATCGTGTCGGACGCGGGTACGAGGCGACGGGTGCAGTGCATGTAGTGCCGGGCGGGTGTTGAGGGGCGGTGGGAGCGTGGTGGTGTTGTTGTCGCGGAGGGTGAGAACAGATGGGCGCCCGTGTAGTCGGATATTAAAAGATGCCGGACGAACTTGCACGCAGAGGCGGAGCGACAGGCAGGCGATGCGACGGGCGACTCCAAGTTTGATTAGGCGGTGCAGTGTCGTCAGTACACGATGAAGCACGAGGGGAAACAGCGGAGCGGCAGGTACTTCGCAGACCCTGACAGTGATGAATGGATGGATGCGATGCTTGCCATGTGCTTACAGAAGCATCGGCGCGGGAAGCACACGCCTCGCACTCCCTCGGCCGGCCGCTACGGTCTTAACAAGATGCGAGCCTAGTTGCTCTTGGAGGACCCGCACTGCGATCTGATCATTAAACGCACCAACACAGGAGCATTTATTTCTGTCGCGCGCGTTGGCGACGCGTGGCCTGGCCGCTCCAGCACAGAGGCAGTAGACACAGTGCACATCCCCATCTCGTGTGCTCGGCAACAGTGCCTCAGAGGGAAGAGAACACATCCTCTGCAACGCATGGCCCCAGCATGTCAGCAGTCAGCACTTGGGCTTGCCAGTGCCAGTTCATGGACTAATCGCAGCGGAGCTTCCGCGGGCCACCGCCAGCAGCCCTTCTAAGCAGGTCGAGTGGAGCATCATCTCAGCCCTCTGTCCCTCGACTCCGCTGTGCATGGCGTAGCCGGGAGATCCTCAGTTCCGAGCTTCGTACAAGTCACTTTTCACAGCTGGCACTCGGATTAATGAAGCGTCTAGAGCCGCATCCATGCCCTTAATATAACTCCTCTAACGGTGTACGCCTTTGTACCTCAGATCTGATACTGCCCAGCGCAGCGAGAGCAATGCGAAACCGTTGAAACAGACGTCACCACTCTGTGAGGGCGGCATCGCTCGGATGCGAGCTACTTTCTGCAGGTGAAAATGGACCTCCGTCCAGCGACATTCGGATGCCGGCCAATGCGGATTCCGATGCATGTCGTCAATGGCAAAGAATCTAGCCCGTCTGCACGCCCTGCGCCAGGCAGCGAGGCGTCCACGGTGGAATGCGCCCAGATGCTTAGCCCCGGGTCAATTCAGGGCTGCCCAGGTGTTCGTCGACCTGGCACGTGACAGCGTGCTGTGAACTGCCCAGGTGTGGAATTATTCCCGGCCTCTAGGCGCCTCACGCGTCACGACGTTACACCACCAGGCACCCCACCCGTCTACACCACCACCCCTCTATTATTCTCCGCCATGAAACCCCAAAAGAAAAGCATCCGAGACTTCTTCTCGCCCGTTTCCAGAACCCCTCCGCCTGCTGCTAGCCCGCAAACCACGCTGCCTCAGAGAAGTACACGCTCCCCACCAGTATTGCTGCCCCAGGCTAACCGCACTCCCACTGCAGATGCAAACAATGCGCCTACCCGTCAGTCAAACCCGCCAAATTCGTCTGGAGTGGCACAGGACGCAAACTCATATGCCGCCGATACCCCACTTTCCTCGTCCAACCCGCTCGCGTCCAGCGCGCCGTCTACAATGAGAGCTGCGAGTGCCGATGCGCCGCCCTTCAACCCCTCACAAACATCCGCAAACTCAGGCGCAAGCAAGCGCACAACATCCAATGGTCAGCAGGTGGTCCTCGACTCGGACGATGATTCTCTACCCGACCTTGACTTTGGTCTACCCACCCCCAAAGTCAAGACCATCGTCACGACCACCACCACACGTTCTAAGCGCATGTCCGAAGACCAAGAGAACGGTCTACAAAAGCCGGCCAAGAAGGCCAAGGATAACAAGAACAAGTTTGATGTACTTGTAAAGACGGCCCACAAGAATCTCGAGACAGAGCGGCAGATCAAGGAGCACAGCGCGCTTCTGGACCAGTCCCTTGAAGAACACGCAGATACTACCCTGGCGCTCAACGAGGAGCTACTTGGCCAAGCTGTGGACGATGATGACGACCCAGAGAAATCGCATCGCCTCCTTCAGGCCATGCAGAGAACCAATGCTACACAAATGGAGAGCGTCTACCATTTCTTCCAAGATGACTCGGACTCAATACAAGCGCAGCCCAAATTTCCCCTCAGCAGCCTGACCAAGCATGGATGGGTCTCGATTCTCAAAGGTGGGATGGTTACAATGACGATAGGTTGGATCTATTGCTAACATGGTCAAGACTCCTACGCCAGGGACCAGGCTTTCATGACCGGCTTTGCACAACAAATCTTTCGAATGCAACAACTTCCCGAAGAACTAGCTTCATGGATGATTGAATGTAGTGCGTTTCACATGAACTTGATAAAATGCTTCTGCTAAGAACTGTAGTTTCCCGAAGCCGGAATGAGGCACTTAGCTACAGATACATTGAGATCTTGGAATCAGAACCTCACAACAAGCACCTCCGTACGCTGCTTGATAACGACAGGCTAGATTCTTTATTCGGGGCAATGGGGGCCAATACAACTCAACTCAAGGCGCAGACTGAACTAGTCCCAATTTCAGTACCACGAACCGAAACTAAAGTCTTACTTCCTCCGTCACTGGTCTCTGTCGCCAGACTGCTTCAACAAGCAGCGCCAGTGTAGGTGGACCATTTACATGTACGGTACTTTGCTGACTCTAGTAGGCTACGTTCGAAAGCTCGAAGGCGTGCGCTCTCTATTCTTTGCCACGTGTGTCTAGATGACCGAGTTATTGCAGATGCTCACATATTACACATCATCCAAGACGCTATGGAAGCTCTCATATGCAACCTTGATAATCACAAAATGACCTCCACCGTAGGGAGTCCTTCACTGCAACACGATACCCAGGCTCTAATTTCTTCACAGCTTAGCGATATCATCTCCCAACTGCTTGTCAAAGTAACGCATCCTCTGCTTCAAAGGAACCTAGTCTGTTCTTTCCCAGCGACATCACCATTAACGGCATACCTACAACGACACTTGGCTCTCGCGTTATTAGTCTACCCAGTATCAGTCGACGTAGAACTCTTAGACCCCAAGCTGCCTGACATGATTCACCAATACCTGGACCAGTCTTCGAACTTCCGAATAGACAAGGACACCGACTACGAGCACCTCACGGCACGTTTGACATTGCTTGACATTGCCATTGGGCCTGGCTTATTGAATGTCCCGTATCAGCCCTTATCAAGTCCAACAACGTCAGAAACCGGCTCGTCTCCAGTCAGGGCTCCAGTACCAGCGTCATCAGAAGTCAAAGATTTCAACAACGAGGTGGATGCGCTTGCTCGGCAGTTCCAGCTACTCAGCAACTCCATCGTCGAGGCTGGCGCTGCGGTGGATCTTACCATCATGGACGCCAAAGATTCTATAGAAAGACTACGCGCACGACTAGAGCACGCTGTGCGGATAGGCGGAAAGAAGGTCTATAACGTCTTTGGTGATGAAGATGAACACACACAGCCAAACCTCAGAAGGTTCTTCAAAAGCACGGGCAAAGACGCGCCAAAGAAGTCTATCTTCGACGAAGAGGACGATGTAGCGGTATCACTAGCCGATGACTCGAAAGCGTGAAAGGCCCTGTAAAGATGTTGCTCCGCAGACAAGTTCAGATTATGCAACGACACTCGCATCGACAAGGTATCAGTCTCAATAAACAATACCGTGCCAATTTACTTCTCGTGGAAATCTTCTCAACTGCACAGACAATACTACTCTGCGCATCTTCACAAACCTTTGTTGAAAATTATTGAGAATCAATATGAGATGATCTATCATTACTGCAATGTAACGATAATTCAAGATCATATCGGAAAGTGTCATACGACACTGCGCGCAATCCTATAGTTCTGTAACGCATCTGTGAAAGCGAAGTTCGCATCACCATTGGCACAGCACTTGGCGCCCTTCTCCGCGCGACAATGTTGGAACTTCAGGGGGCGATCTACAGGGGAGCCAAACCGGCGTGTCCCATTGCAGCGCGTCCGTCATCTTCGCAGACTACCCAATGCAAGAAAACCATGCAATTTCACCTACTGCAATCCTTCGAAAACTAGCGTCTTAGCCAAAGGGTCTAGACAGGAGAGAAAAATCATGCGCGCAGCTGTATTCGTGAGGATGCTCGGTCGCGGCCCACAAGAAGAGATTCATCTCCTCCTGTCACATTGCATGGCGGGGCGACGACGCGGCTTACTCATCTAACTACTGTACGTGCGTGCGTGAGGCGGGTTCTTGGCTGAGAAACCCGCAGGTCTTGCTCATTAAGAACACGTGTGCAGAGATATTCGTACAGATGGATTGCAAGGCAGGCAGGCGGCACGGGTACGCTTCACGAATGGCAGATGCACCTGGCGACATGGGAAATAAGTCCTTCCAGATGCACGATGAGAGAGCTGTGGCGCATGCAGACTGCTGACTCGCTATCTGAGGCGGTGTGATGGTCCACTGACGGAACATGTGCAAGCTAGCAGGTTGCGTACCGTGGAAAGCTGGGAACGGCCTCGGCCAGGGTGCGAAGCGAAGAAAGGGAACGGGGACCTCTAGATTTCGCGCATCTCAAAAGAGCGCGAGTGTTTGGGATGGTACGAAGGAACCAGATTACCTCTGCCTTGAGCACACGTAGACACTTCCTGTCCGATCCACGCGCCTCTTCTAGCCCTAACAAAGCGACCGAAAATGTCGCGCATATCGAGCCTACATGCCGAAGCCCACAACCCGTGACCCATCCCATCGCAGACCATCCCCATACAAACTCCACCTGAAATAATCCCGGTGGTAAAACATCACCTAGCCCCGTTCTGCCACTGCATGCATGCAGGTATCCTTGGTCTCGGTAACAGTTCTTGTTATTTCGGATAGCAGTTTCCGCGTTTGAACTAGATGCCGTTTGCCGATGAACGGTTTGGCGGCTTTGCGGGATGGTCCTTGTAAAAGTAAATGCACTGCTGCACTCGATGAGAATGCGGATTAGCGGCCTTTGTCCGAGGCGTGTGGGCGAAGAATGTGCCAGTGACAGGTGTAGTGAGGGATTGGGGAGGCTTGATCTGTTTTGGTATTTGGTGTGTTTGGGGGTGGTGTTTTAGGTCGTGAGTTCGTGGGCTGGACATGGGAGAATCCAAGGATTGTCATGGCTATGTCAACTTGTGATGTCGATGAGACTCATATACTATTTCCATGCGGGTCGCGAATCTAAATTAACGCGTGGTATCCAGATCTATATACACAAAGAACGCTAAGTGCAGAAACGATGCAAAGCTGAATGAAACCAACAAAGCCAGTCGTAGGGAGTATCAGCGCTGCTGAGTCTCCGTCATTACTTCCACATCACCAGCTGTAGACTATGGAGGGAAAGAAAGAGTCGTTCGATTGGACATGTACGTTCGTTGGCTTCGCTGCCGGCTCTTCCAAAACCCTCTTCTTTTTTATATTTGAAAACATCCAATCGACTATAGTCCACCAAGTCCGTTCTTCTCGTCAATGTGCCTGTAGCGCTCCTGCTCCATGCGGTACTTGAGGACCATGGCAACGCAGAGTACGAGGATCATGTCTACACCGACGATGCCAAAGGCTGCAGTGAAAACGCGGTCCAAGTACGTGTTGGCGAATGAGGAGAACTTGCCGATGCAACCTCCCTTCTGAGCGGCGACCAGGGTGTTTTGGCATGTGCTATCCTGGACAAATGGAGGGGTGGTCGAGTTCACATAGCCGCAGCAGTCGAACTGTTCTTCGTCAGCTTGTGTGCACACCGGCGTGGACGTGCGGAAAATGCGCTTCTAGTGCTGACGCCAGTCATGGAAGACTCACCTTTTGCTGCAGGAGACTCTGAATAAGCGGCGACTCACGGCCCCAAAGTACACTGAGGTTGGTCCGGGTTTGCAGAGTTTCCACCCAGATGGCGATACCGAGTCCGAGTGTGAATGTTGCACAGATGACGACTAGCCAGCCCTGAGTACGAAGCCAGCCTCGATTTGTTGGAAGGAAGAGCGCAGGGAGAGACAGCAGGAATGTGACGAAAACGAAGATAGCATTGACGACGCCAGCTGGATAATTGTTAGTTGATGTTCCTTGAGACTACACTAACATAGGCGATGCGTGGGACAATCTGCCGCCACAGTAGTGTTGAATATCGATTCCTTCAACGCCACCCTCATCGCCCATTTGTGAAGGTCGTACCTGTCAATGGACACTGGCCGAGCAGCAGGTTCTGCGTGACGTTGTCTACAGTTGGAGTGGCGCGCATTGATTGCTCAGATATGAGGGAGAAGCCCAGCAACAGTCCTCCACATCCGGCGAAGAGGAAATCCATGCCCACAAAGGCCATCATCAGTTTGGTCGGCATCTTGACGGTAGTGTGGTTTGACGGAAGAGACTGGAGAGAAAAGAACGATTGGACAAAGAATGGAAGTCGAGCGCAGCGGAGCCGTCCGGCGTACTCTCGTGAACTACGTCGATCAAAGCGATCAACGCGAATTATTAGATAGAAAGTAGCGAAGAGAAGAGAAGGTGGTAGCAAGAGCAGCGCTCGCGCGGAAAATGCATGGCATTGGGGGCACGGGGGCCTTGAGCATTAAGAAGCACTGCGCAGGCGCGTCGCAGTTGGACCACGGCGATGCGTGGGTGGTTTCAGTAGTGTTGGAGCATGGTGGGCGGCCAATCACGGGCGCGAACGGGCATAATGGTTCGATGTTTTGGCGCTGCGACGTCGGTGAGCCACAGACGAGTAGATCGCGGCGTGAGGATGCGACGAGAAGTTTGGAACATTCATCAGGAATTACTTGAGATGAGGTGAACCGCGGCATTTGGCTGTCACGAGGCGCGGTGGTGGTGAGTACCCAGCTGCTGCCTCACGCAGGCCGCCACCAACAGCGCAGGCGTGCGGGACGAGGGAGCAGGCTAGACCGTCGCTGCAAGCGAAGCGAGATCAAACGGGGAAGGTGCGTAAGGGAGGTGCTTGCCTGGTGCTGGCTTGGTGCAGCCGCGGCTTCCAGCACGACCCACGCAGCACCACCGTCGTGGGATGCTCTGGAGTGGCATGAAGCGCATGTTTGGCGGATGGACAAGAGCAGCGGGCGGCAGAGTTTGGCATCTCGTTCGGATGCCTGTCTGCTGCGCGTGTACTGTCTTCTGTCGCCTGGGTAGTGTGAACTGTAAGACGGACAGGAGTGGGAACCGGCATTCACCAGTTGACCGTCAATCTGACTTGAGCGGGACTAGCGGCGGCATCCCACCAATCAACATGAGACGAAACAGCGGGGCCTGCTCAGCTGCCTCTAGCGCAGCCCTCGGCCTGAGAGGGACGGCGGACTTTTCATGTGGAAAGGCCGCTGCTGTTCATCTCCAAAAGCGACCTGACAGGCCAAATTCTAGTGGGAAGGGGTCAAAGTTAGTATCAGCACGACGGCCGCGCTGCGCTGCAATCTGCCAGTTCATGCGTGTCGCGACGGCGGCGAGCGAGGCTGGCGGCCAGGGCAATAATTGTCGATCTCCGACTCAGAGCTGTGACCAGGGTTGCGCTCAAGCGCATCCGCCCCCAGTTGTGTGGATAGTTGAGGGCCTGCCCGCACCAAAGCAGCCAAAGCAGCCGTCGAGAGAAATACTTGACCACTCCCGCCGTTTCATTCCCAATACCGTTCGTCCCTTTCCTTCCTCAGACAGCTCTCGGGCTATAACACACCTGCACCACTCCGTCTGTCCCTGCGTGCCCGCCAAGCTCCACAAGCTCAGGGTTCACGAGACCATCGCTGCCTCTTTTTGCACGCTCCCAACGGCGCGCCAAAACAAAGCACTCGCCGCACCTGATCCCCCAGGCCGTCGTCCCAGGTACGTCGCCAGTCTCTCTTTCTTGCGCTGCTCCTGCGAGGCCTGCCGCGCCAGGTCACGCTCCCCGGCACCAAGCCCTTCGACCAGCACCCCCCAGCCACTGGCGCAGCACGGGCCCCAGAGCAATTTAGTGCCTTCCACCGAGCACAGTGCGACCAAGCGTTTCCTCCCCCGCGCACCTTTTCCTTGCATTCCTGCTGCGCCATCAAAGGGACCAGCCCCGATCTTTTAACAGGCCGCGCTTCCTTTTCCTATTGAGGGCGTCCTAAGAGTCTAACCCAACTCAAGCTGTCTGCAGTTCCTTCTGTAACATTTTGCGCGTCTGCCCAAACCACGCAAGAACGCCTGCCAACTCCCCACACTCGGCCCAACTCAGCTTAGGGCCTTCGTCCCCCAAACACTGCGGGTAACCAATCTTTGTCGCGACTCACCACCATGGCCAGCGAAATCACCGAGCACGACCAGAACGCGTCGCCGTCCGTCCACGACGACGGCAATGGCACCATGGGCATGGAGAACCGCGGCGTCAAGCGTGCGCGCGCCGCTGCCGACGACGACGACGACGACGATGACAAGCCCGGCCGCGAGCGAAGAAAGATTGAGATCAAGTTCATCCAGGACAAGTCGCGTCGACACATCACCTTCTCCAAGCGCAAAGCCGGCATCATGAAGAAGGTACGTTGGTGCCCCCGTCGCGCGCATCGTGGTGCATCTGCTCCCGCGTCGCTTGAAACCGTTGCCTGCACCGAGCGCTC